TGCGTTTGCACTGCTTTTAAAAATGTGTTCAGTTACATCTGGTGTCAACGTCTAACCCTCACTAACATAATCCAATAATTCTAACCTAATCAGTGATAAATGACTTGCTCCAGAAGAATCATATGTTACAATATTTGCGCACTAGATATTTTGGCCCCAATGTACAAGAAAATGGCAACGCAAACCCTCTGGAAATGTCAGTGCTGAGTACAGTTGATTAAAGCGAGGAATGTATATGTAGTGGGATGTCCTCAGAGTCCTTCTTCCATCTGATTATACTCTCCAGACCTTGTTATTTGCTGGATTGGAATCACTTGTTTTTCTGATTGTAGTATTTGGGCCTTGTCTTCATTTATTTGATGACGACGGTCACTTTCCTTTCCATCAGTCTAAGCTGGGCTTTTATGTTCCCTTCCAGTTGTCTGGCGCCATCAGTATTCATTATTTCCTTTATATCCTGCAATTTAAAGGCTGAATTGATTTGTTTTTCTGTCATGCTGGATGTCACACTAAATGTTTTTTTCAGTTTACACAGGCCTGACATTATTATAATGTCCGAAGGGAAATCAAGTCCTTGTGTCACTAGCATTATGTACCGTGGTTTAGTTCACATAGTGTGTTTGAGTTTATTTAACTCAATAATATGGTTCAGTCAAGTGTGACTTTTCATTGAAATCTTCATTTGTTTACTTACTGAGGCACCTGATGTGTATAAATCTGTCTTTTTTTGAGAAGAGATTGCCTAAATGGTGGTGGTTCTTGTGTGGTTTGTGGACCATCTGTGATCCATATGCATGCGGCAGCTGGTCTCAACTGGACAGACCTAGTCATCTTTGTTAGAAAGGAACCCAAAATAAGTACAATTGGCTCTAGTGTTCACAGTAACTGGCTCCGGACACCATTTTCCCAACTTTGAATTCAGTAAATGGTGCACAGAATTGGTGGGGAGATGTGCGTTTGATTTGCACATAATGACAACCTCCCAAGTGAAATAGAAATCACAATTTTGTTTTTTTTTTTTTTAATAGACATGCAACCCATTTAGCCACTTAGCCTTATTCATCATATTTAAGAGAGGTTTAAACCCTAAAGTGTAGGTAAACGCAAAATATGCAATACATCTTTGCTATGTATTCAAATGTGCCCATGTTTTATCCCTTTAAAGCAGGGGTCTCCAAACTTTCTAAACATAGGGCCAGTTTACTGTCCTTCAGGCATTAGTGGGGCTAGACTGTGGCCAGTGGGAGTAGAACATGTTCTAGTGTTGAAGCAAACAATAACTTATCATTGATGTCAGTAGGAGGAATAGTGCCCCCATCATTGGTGTCAATGGGAGGGATTATGTCTTCATGTTGTTGTCAGTGAGAGGAATAGTACCCCATTGTTGACGGTGGAAGGAATAGTGCCCCATCATTGGTATCAGTGGGAGGAATTGTGCCCCATCATTGGTATCAGTGGGAGGAATTGTGCCCCATCATTGGTATCAGTGGGAGGAAATTGTGCCGCATCGTTGGTGTCAGTGGGAGCAATTATGCCCAATTGCTGGTGTCAGTGGGAGGAATAGTACCCTATTGTTGGTGTCAGTGGATGGAATAGTGAATGGAATAATGTCCCACCGTTAGTGTCAGTGGCAGTAATTATGACCCACTGTTTGTGTCAGTGAGATAAATAGTTCCTCATATAAGTGGGAGAAATAGTGCCCCATCATTGGTATCAGTGGAAGGAGTTGTGCCCCATCGTTGGTATCAGTGGGAGGAATTGTGCCCCATCGTTGGTGTCAGTGGGAGGAATTATGCCCAATTGCTGGTGTCAGTGGGATGAATAGTACCCTATTGTTGGTGTCAGTGGATGGAATAATGTCCCACCGTTAGTGTCAGTGGCAGTAATTATGACCAACTGTTTGTGTCAGTGAGATAAATAGTTCCTCATATAAGTAGGAGAAATAGTGCCCCAAGGGCTGGATAAAGGCAAGCAAAGGGCCACATCCCACCCCCGGGCCTCAGTTTGGAGACCACTTATTTAAAGGATAAGTTCACCTTTTATAACATGTTGCATGTTACACCCATATTCAGGGTGTAACATGTTACAAATGCATCGGCCCCCGCACCCTAGCAGGGAGATCTCCCCTCGCCCGGCCGCGTCATTCATTCACAGAGTTCTATGATCGCTCTAGTAGTTCATTAAGCTTCCTGTCAGAGTGTAACTGCCTGCCCATATCAGAGGTACGGGCAGACAGATACACGGACAGTCTGCAGGACTGTGGCAGTACACCCACGATCTGCTAGTCGTGGGTGCAATGCTTTATAGGTCCCTAACAAAAAAAAAATAACAAATGCATATTTTTTTTCTTGCAAAAAAAAAATGTGCATGTAGTATTTTTCTTTTTTGTAAAAGTAAGACTTATTTTCTTAGGTCCCTGTGTTTAACATTTTTTACACTTTGTTTCACTTAAAGTGATAATAAACACACACTGTTTAATTTACATTATCTTTTCTTCTTATGTATAAAGATGGTGGCACTGAATTTATTTTAATCTTAAAAAAAAAAAAAGTACCTTTTTTCATAATCAGTATACACCTGTCATGTGACCCAGCTCTTTCCAAGCCCATCAGAAGAGAAACCTCTCTGGGAGGAGCTTCTAGTCCTCTGCTGCTGGTCACATTCTAGAAAAAAAGACTTTAAAATACTGTACATAATTCATATCAATTAAAAATTTTAAATCGTCATATAACCCGTGTTTGCAAGAAAGAAAATCACGGCGTCTATGGCCGGCTTAATTCTGTAGTCATATGGACTGCACAGATAAGCAAAAGAAGAAATAAACAGTTTAGAAGGGAAATGAAACTGCAGCATGCTCAGGAGATGTAGCAACGGCTGGTCTACACAATCTCAGGCTGCAGGGGGGACACAGACAAGGAGGGAGGGACAGTGAACAACAGGTTTTTTGCAGAATACAGAAAATGAATCCCATAGTGACTGAGTTTGAACAGTGTGTAATACGGCATGTATTGACTGTTAATGATGTAAGTTTAATGACACTTTAACCCTTGACGCTGACATCACACAAATATGCGGCTTCATAGATCTGGGCTTTTTTCAGTGGGGCCGCATATTTGCATACCTGTCTTTCTGCTGGGAGCACGGTGCACTCCCAGCACAAAGACCGTGGTGTCGCTGAGAGCACCGGGTCCCTTTCTAACGATCGGGACCCGGGACTCCCGATTCCAGGTCACATGATCACTGTGATAGCCTCTCATTGACTATCACAGTGACCAGTCACTGTACAGCCCAGCCCCCTTGTTTTTTTTTTTTTCTCCGTATGAATGGAATGGATTGTAGAATCTCTGTAACTCCTGGCATAGAAGGAAAAAAAATGTTTGTAAAAAAAAAAGATAAATAAATATTAAATAATAAAAGAAAAAAAATAAAGAAAAAATACCTAGATCAAGGTTTGATCTAGTTCAGTGCCAGGGTTAGTATTTGGGTCAAGGTCAGGGTCAAAGGTCAGGATTTAAAAAAAAAAAAAATTGGTATCAGTGTCAGTTAGTGTCAATATCACTGTCTGTGTTTTAGGTAAAAAAAAAAGACAAAAACAAAATGCGCACTATTATTTCTGGGCTGTACTATGGGTACAAACAACAAATGACATACATATATATGGTATCGCTGCGATCGTCAAGAGCTGGAGAATTTATTTTGGGTTGTTCTTTGTTGGTAGGTTATGGTTATGTAGTAACAAGAAACACACAGCTAAATAAAAAAAAAATATTTGTTTTTAGTATTTTGGGCCAGTTTTCCTTTGATAATGAAAAAAAATCAGGAGATACCCATTACCATTTACCACCAAATGAAAGCCCAATTTGTCCTGAAAAAAACGCGGTATAATTCATCTGGATGTACAAAGTAGTTGTGATGATATGTGCAGTTTTACTAACACATGTCAACGTTGCATAATTGTGCCTAGGCATTTAGATTTGTTTTACCCTTAGGCGTGACGGGGTTAACTTTATTTTAATCACATATTGGAGTGTAGATCGCACTCCATTAGCTTCTTCCCTGGCCTGGGGAAAGTGATGTCACTTCCATGCTAATTCTAGCTGGGGGGGGAGATCAGCAAACGGATGTGCACTTTTCTCCCCAACGACACCTGCCATGGAGGGGGGGGACGCACTCTAGGGGGGCCATGGGAGCCGCATGGTCACTTCTACCTGACTGCTGAGTCAGGAGTGTGTAGCAGCCAAAAATATGTGTAAAACCCCTCTGCTGCCGACATATCACCTACGTTGGCCTTCGTTGACCTGTCAGAAATGTGCTCAGGCCTTAAATATAAATCAGGCCCTAAATCGTTTCCAGTCTCAGATCCCAAAAAGACCCAAAAGGGGGAAGTTCCGCTTCCCCCCCCCCCCCCCCCCCCCCCCCCCCGTTCTAACACATTTGGCACATTATATTTTTTTGGGGGGAGCGGGGTACCAAGTTTTGACAGGTGCCTGCTCACACTTCCACCTGGAGCGCCTAGGTGGTCTGAGCAGAAGTTTGCTTCCCTTTTACCCCCATGTCACTGTTTCCAGAAGGCTGCGAGACCATTTACAAAGCTCAGCGTGGCTTGCGCGTGGGCAATAGGAAGCTGGCTGTGAAGCAAGGAATCACAGCTGGCTTCTCTTAACAAATATGCCGGCTCCCTGAAGACCAACGAAAAACCGCCCCAGGTGAGGATGGTGCTGGATGCCTGGACAGGTAAGTATCCTTTTATTAAATGCCAGCTGACTTACAAATACACTTAATATTACTTACTGTATTATAAATAATAATTACTGCCAAATCAAAGGACCAATATGTGAAATGTAAAAATTGCTCTGGTCCATATGGGGTACATGTGAGAGCTGAAGAGGGTATTAAGTTGTGACTTTCACAACACTGAGCACAGCAGCTTAGAGTTACAAATGTATATTGCATTGCTGGGAATGTGTATTGTGCCACAGATAACCATTGTCATCTTCTTCCAGGGTGAGTAAATGTTGCTCCAGAATGGACAGGACTGCAAGTCACAGTTGCCATCTTCTACAGCAGCTTCATGAGCAAAGGATCCAGGGCTTGCTGTGTGACTGCATGCTGGTGGTAAAAGGAGTCTGTTTTAAAGCACATAAAAATGTGCTGGCAGCTTTCAGCCAGTACTTTAGGTATGGAGCAGTCTGATTTATTTGGTGTCATGACTTTTTGCTTTTTAGAATACACTTGTGTTTTTTCTTTTCCATACAAAAAAGTTTTATTTTAGTTTAGGATAGAATGGGGAAGGCAGGCTCCGACCCTGTTCCTGTGATTTCCCTTTACTCTCTGCCTTGGTGACCATGAAAGTGAGGGAAATCTCTAGTATGGAGTCACAGTCACAAATTCTGACAGAGGGTTCTAATCCTTTCACACACTAAATAGGTATTCATAGGTATTCCTCCTCTTGGGAAAGTACTACTATGGGAACTTAAAGTAATATGCATTATAACTAAAGACAAAACCTTTTTTATTTTTTCTTTAGTTTTGGATAAAGTGGAGATGGATCAGAATACCTGTCAGCTTTTTATTGCTGTGTGTGTCCTCATTTGTTCTCTAGCTCCATTGTCTCCTCCCTCCATGCTCATCTCCAGACTTCTCCAGAGTCTTCCATCCTCTAGAACTCTCTACCCCAATCAGGTCCGGCTGTCTCCTACTCTGTCCACCTTTCGGCGATATCTGAAAACTGATCTCTTCAGGGAAGCCTATCACACCTCCACCTAACAACTGAATCTTTTATTTCTCCCATCAGCTCATCCCTCACAGTTATTTTTTGTTCCACTTGCCCTTCCTATTAGATTGTAAGTTCTCAGGAACAGGCCCTCCTAACTCTCTTGTATTGTATTGTTGCTGTATTGTCTCCTGTTATATTGTAAAGTGCTGTGGAAACTGTTGGTGCTATATAAATCCTGTATAATAATAATTAGGGAGATTCACTCAAGAAAATCCCACATTTTGGGTTGTCATTAGAGCAGCAGGAATAGAGGGGAATGCTTCTAACAGGGACACTATTTCCGGTGACCCCAGTGACAATCAGGGATTCCCTCACTTTGGAGGGATTTTCTGTCACTTCCTGTTTTGGCTATGGGACAGGAAGTAAAGGTAAATCTCCCCAATGGGACACAGGTGGCAAAAAAAAAAACTGACAGGTTAACCTTCCCCAACTCTATCTAAAATGGAAAAAAAAGTTTTGCATTTAGTTCTACTTTAACCTCTTGCCAACCATGTAACACATTTGTGCAGCAGCAGTGAAAATGGGCTTTAATGCCCACACACATATTCTTCCAAGGCAGTTGAAGTTTCCAGCACAGTGACTGAGTTGTCACAGAAAGCTCCTGGTCTCTGGGTATGATCAGGAGTTGGTGGGACAGGCTCCCAATCATTGTGATAGGCAATCACATTGATCACCTGATTGGGAAGCCTGTCATGCCCCACGATGTAAAGAGCCAGTTAAAGGGCTGTCAGGAGTGGGCAGAAAGAGGTTAAAAGTGTATTGAATTAGAATTTGATGTAATTTATTTAAACAAAATGGTCCATAATGTTGATAGAAAAAATTAAACGGAAACAGAGGAAAAGCCATGTCTCTCTTCCTCCTCCACATCGATGATTGATAGTGGCTTGGTGACGCTCTCACTCTCTGTGTGTGCGGTGCTCAGAACACTGCACCTACATAGAGTAGGTCCTGGCAGCACAGGGAGAACATATAGAATGGGGAGTATATCAGCACAGTCGTATGTTACTTTAAAAAATAAATGCTAAAGAAGTTGTTTTTTTGTTTTCTTTAAGAAAAAACAGCAAATACATATTATAATAATATTATTATTATCTTCTGTTTTATTAAAAAATAGACTTTATTGTCACTTTATCCTCTTCCTGCCTGTTGTATGCATAAATGCGGCCTCTTGGCAGGTAGGCCTTAATGCTGAGAGGCTGCATATATGTGTACCAAAATGTAAACAATGCTGTGCCCAGAACACGCACCCTCTCACTCCTGGCACAGTGGCGAAATGCCTGCCTCCACCTCCCGGCATTTGAAACCTCCTAAAGGGCCAGGAGGCACAGACAGGAAGGGGTTAACATCAGATTTAAGTAATTGCGTTTACCTATCATTTACCATGCCACATGCCAATTGGTTGAGTTAAAGTGGTTCTAAAGCCTTTAGATTTTTCACCTTCAGTGCGCAGCTCCCCCCTCAGTTTCCCCTAATCCTTACCTGAGCCTATTCCCGATCCAGTGCTGTACATAAGGGCAGAAGCTCTCTTGGGTTTCTCTCTCCTCATAGGCTGGGACGCAGCAGCTGGAGCCATTGGCTCCTGCTACTGTCATTCACAGCCAGGAAGGAGGGAGCCAGGGACAAGCCGCACTCTGTGTGACACACAGAGGCATGTTTGGAGTGAGCATGTACGAGTGCCCCCAGAGCAAGCAGCTTGCCCTCAGCAGGGGGGAGGGGTCTGGAGCGCTGGCAGGGGATCTGAGAAGAGGAGGGTCGGGGCTGCTTTGTACAAGCAGATAAGTATACCATGTTTGATATTTTAGAAAAAAAAATTGGAACCTTTAAAAAAACTTTAAGTACACCCATGTGCAGTTAAACATGATCTCATGAGAATTTAGCACAGGGATCCTGGACAGTGATGAAGTCTAGGCAGGGAGCAGAACCACCCTTTTTTACCTAAAAACAGACCTTTCCATTTTGGAAGGATCCACTTGTTAAAACACACAATAGCTTCAAACACAGTGGCAAAACAGCAAACTCCAATTGCTGACTGAAAGTGCCTGTACATTTACCGAAAATAATTACTATGTACCTTTTATCGATGATTTATTCTGCTGTCACTTGATAGCCCTGTCTCCTTTGTCTCGTCCTTTCCCATAGTGTTGAAGTGCCTGTACAGAGTACAGTGTCATGTAGCACACAAGCACTGTGTTCCAGCAGGTTGATCCACAGACTGCACCTGCAACATAGGCAGTCCTGTGCAGGGGGGGGGGTGTCTATAATAAACATTGATGACATCTGCAGTGGCATGGTCTCTCTCTCTCTCTTAATGGGACAGAGAGGCAACAGCAGGAGCCTTCAGTTCCTGCGCTGCCAATTAAATCCTATGAGCAGATACTGGGGGGCGGTACTGCACTGAGCCATGTGTGTCTATAGACGCACACAACCCAGCTCAGGAGGGAGCCCGCAGGTGCACCCACCGCCATAGCAAGCATTTTTCTAGGATGGCACACTGAGAAGAGGAGGAGCCTGGAGCACCAACTGGGGACCCGAGAAGAAGAAGTGTGGGGCTGCTTTGTGCAATACCATTGCACAGAGCAAGTATGTATGAAATGTTTATTATTTTTTAAAAATCTAAGCCTTTACAAATTCTTTCATGACCAAGAAAACACATATAAGCAATCATCATTGTTGTAGTGACATATACTTTAAGTAAACCTTACTGGTGTACAATCCTTGTGTCCTCCCTTCCCCTGTTAAAATATATCTGTTACGCGTCAGCATTTATTACAAATAAAAACTCCTTAACTCTGATGGTTAAGACTGATCAAAGAGGTCCAGTAAAGGAGGGCGAGACTCTAAACTTGTACAATTTTTGTTTTCCTCAGATCTCTGTTTCAGAATACCTCAGTCCAGAAAAGCGATGTCTTTCACTTGGACATCAAGAATATTGGAGGCATAGGTCAAATCCTGGACTTCATGTATACCTCACATCTTGACCTGAATAATGATAATATACAAGCTATGCTGGACATTGCACAGTGCCTCCAAGTACAAAACGTCTTGAATATGTGCTACAATTTTTTAAAACTGACTACAAATGTGGAGACTGTAACTCCTATTCCGTGTAGCAACTCTGAACCCTTACAGAGCAATTACCCAGCATTTACTAACTCTGTATCCAGCGAACAACTAAGCACTCCAATACTAGAAGATGCAGTAACAGAGGCCAGACATTCCCAGCCATTGTTGTCAGATAAGGGCAATGTCCCTTCAGCTGAGGTCCCTAAACCTGCATCTGTCACCATCAACTCAAGTCATAAGGAAATTCAGTTAAAGCAGTATGGTCAGCCCTACAAACTGCGGGACTTTTACAGCAAACTCTTCTACAAGGAGAATGCAGACAAGGCAGCAGAACAGGCTACAACGGCTACCGTTGAATCTAATTTGGCAGAATCACAATCATGGACTTTGACTTCCTCTGAGTCGATATTAACTCCATCAGATTCTTTACCTCTGGAACCTCTGCCTGCGTTTTCTCATACGTTTGTTTCCTCCCAGGATCAAGAAACACCGCCACTGCAGTTCCCCACAGAAATGCGACTTAAAAAAGCCATTCACCTTAAGAAATTAAACTTTCTCAGGTCTCAGAAGGCAGCAGAAGAGTCAGCTCAGCCGATTGGAGTTTTACAGAACACTATAGAGGAAACTGTGTTCACAAATGAGGTCCTTGACAATACAGAAAAGACCTTTCTAGAAAAAGAAGCTGATGGAGAAATACTTGAGAATATTGCTCAAAATGTGGAGTTGGAAAGAGCGGAGAGCCCTAATATGGAAGATCCAGGTGTATCGGTACCAAAGCACTGTGCGTGTGACTTGTGTGGCAAGACCTTCAAACACCCCAGCAACCTGGGGCTGCACAAACGTTCTCACACAGGTACAGTGAGGTAATGGTTTGATGTTTTCCACATGAAAGAGAAAAATAGCAAGCTGTCCATCACGGTACACAATACCCTATAAAGCACCAAGTATTTATTATGAAGGCATAACATCTGGTAACTTTCAGGTTCCTTATATGACCACTCTTTACCATGTCATAGTTTAGCTGGACTGAATGATAGAAAATTATTATTATGATTATTATTATTTTATTTTGATGCTGTTGAAGCTTTCTTTGTATGTATGAACTATTGCATCCTTAGACATCAGGTTTTCAGTTTAGTAAATCTTCTAATGAACCCAATGTCCTAATGCCTTGTGCACATGACTGCTTTCAGTTCTGCCCCTTATCTGTCAAAGATAAAAAGAAGCCAAGAAACAAAGAACAATTTAAAACTATATAGAGAAGCATTGTTTTTAATTACGTATTTAATTCTTACTCTCGTCAGAACAAATTACAGTTTCTTCTCCATGATACTCCCAGAGTCCCTCATGACAAAGAAATACCTTTATTTCAGAGCCATGTCACTCTTTTTGTCCTTGTGGGTCAAACCATCAGTGCAACATTTCTTGGGACCCCCAAGTGTCGGTTGGCTGTTGTTTTGGGTTCCCCAAATATTTTTTTCAGTACAGCCACTTTAAATGAATATGATTCCCAAGAATTTCAGGACACCTAAAAGGTCTAATTGGGATCTGAAACTACCAGGCATGTGCCTAGAATATGTAGTATCCATAAATATAATGGATTCAGTTTTCAGGAATGTGGATCTAGGCCAGTGCTTTTCAGTAGTGTTTACTAAAACACTTATGTGTGGATCATTTTTGTTTGTATATGATTTATTGTTAAAGGATAAATTCAACTTTAAAAAAAATAAATAAATAAATGCACATTTTTTTTTGCGGGTAAAAAAAATGTGTATTTGCTATTTTTTTCTTTTGTAGGAGCCTGGAGAGCATTGCACCAGCGATCAGCAGATCAAGTGCCATGCAGGACTCCTGCAGACTGTCAATGTAAGCTGTCTGGCCATACATCATAAGGGCAGGCAATTTCATACCGATAGGAAGAAACAATGAAGTACCACAGCAGTCAACAGCGCCCTGATAGTTCATATGAGAACTACAAGCCGACATTTGCAAAGGCTGTCAGTACTTGTAGTTGATATATTCACAGAACTCTGTGAATGAATGACGTGGCCATGTGGGCAGAACCGCGCTGTTTTCAAAAAGTGACCGTTAGTACGGGGAACCCCCCTCAGATCACCAAGCCGCTACAGCAGCGGGAACATGTTATATAGTATCTCACAGAAGTGAGTACACCCCTCACATTTTTGTAAATATTTTATTATATCTTTTCATGTGACAACACTGAAGAAATGACACTTTGCTACAATGTAAAGTAGTGAGTGTACAGCTTGTATAACAGTGTAAATTTGCTGTTCCCTCAAAATAACTCAACACGCAGCCATTAATGTCTAAACCACTGGCAACAAAAGTGAGTCCACCCCTAAAGTGAAAAAATGTCCAATTTGGGTCCAAAATGTCAATATTTTGTGTAGCCACCATTACTTTCCAGCACTGCCTTAACCCTATTGGGCATGGAGTTCACCAGAGCTTCACAGGTTGCCACTGGAGTCCTCTTCCACTCCTCCATGACAACATCACAGAGCTGGTGGATGTTAGAGACCTTGCGCTTCTCCACCTTCCATTTGAGGATGTCCCACAGATGCTTAATAGGGTTTAGGTTTGGAGACATGCTTGGCCAGTCCATCACCTTTACCCTCAGCTTCTTTAGCAAGGCAGTGGTCATCTTGGAGGTGTGTTTGGGGTCCTTATCATGTTGGAATACTGCCCTACGGCCCAGTCTCCGAAGGGAGGGATCATGCTCTGATTCAGTATGTCACAGTACATGTTGGCATTTGTGGTTCCCTCAATGAACTGTAGCTCCCCAGTGCCGGCAGTATTCATGCAGCCCCAGACCATGACACTCCCACCATCATGCTTGACTGTAGGTTCCAGTAATCCATGTCCTTAGTCTGCTTGTCTTCAGCAAACTGTTTGCGGGCTTTCTTGTGCATCATCTTTAGAAGAGGCTTCCTTCTGGGACGACAGCCATGCAGACCAATTTGATGCAGTGTGCGGTGTATGGTCTGAGCACTGACAGGCTGACCCCCCCCCCCCCCCCCCCCCACCCCTTCAATCTCTGCAGCAATGCTGGCAGCAATCTTACGTCTATTTCCCAAAGACAACATCTGAATATGATGCTGAGCACGTGCACTCAACTTCTTTGGTCGACCTGTTCTGAGTGGAACCTGTCCTGTTAAACCGCTGTATGGTCTTGGCCACCGTGCTGCAGCTCAGTTTCAGGGTCTTGGCAATCTTCTTATAGCCTAGGCCATCTTTATGTAGAGCAACAATTCTTTTTTTCAGATCCTCAGAGAGTTGTTTGCCATGAGGTGCCATGTTGAACTTCTAGTGACCAGTATGAGAGTGAGAGCGATAACACAAAATTTAACACACCTGCTCCCCATTCTGACCTGAGACCTTGTAACATTAACTAGTCACATGACACCGGAGAGGGAAAATGGCTATTTGGGCCCAATTTGGACATTTTCACTTAGGGGTGTACTCACTTCTGTTGCCAGTGGTTTAGACATTAATAGCTGTGTTTTTTTACTTTATTTTGAGGGGACATTCACTACTTTACATTGTAGCAAAGTGTAATTTCTTCAGTGTTCTTCATGAAAAGTTATAATAAAATATTTACAAAAATGTGTGGGGTGTACTCACTTCTGCGAGAAACTGTATGTTCCACCCTAAAAACTTGTGGAACATGTAACATGTATCCTTTAATGCTCTTAACCAGCCGTTCTCAACTAGGGTTCCTCCAGAGGTTGCTATGGGTTCTTAGAGCAATCAGCAAATTCTGACTCTCAGACAAGTAACCACAGACATCAATTCATTTTTTAGCTACTGTATCTGTCAAAAGGGCCCCTCCTCCTAACGACCAACCAATATAAGGGGCCATGCTCCACTGACCACCACTGTAAAAGGGCACTATACTGATCACCAGTGTAAGCAAGGTACTACACTGACCACCAATGTAATAACGCATTTCACTGACCACTAGTCTAAGGGGATATTTTGTCACTGACTATCAATGTGAGGGGTCTCTTCTTCACTGTTACCCTAGGCTCACACTAGGCATCGCACAGGAAGTGCACCGCATTGATTTGAGGACATTTCTTTTGAATAGGCTCAATTTGCACCGTATCACACCAATTTTAGAAATGCACTGCAACTGGATTACATGGTAGTATACGATCCTGTGTAGGCAAATGCACCACGCTTGCGACCTGCATTTGGGGTGTTGTTAACATTGCACTGACACCCGCTGCAGATCGCAAGGGCAGTGCAATTTGAACGCGGTGTGGGAAATGTGCATTGATCACGGATTTTCCCGCACCGCGTTCTACTGTGAACTAGGGCTTATGGAGCACTTTGCAAATTCTGCATTTCTTTTCTGGCCCTTATTAATTATTTGTTACTTTTATTTTTACTGAAATAATTATGTGATATAAAGCAGCTCTGGGTGTAAAATACACCATATATGTCACATTCCTTATTCTTTTCTTTATTCTTATATATCAGCTTACTGTTCACGCTAATGTCTTATGAGCGGTAGATAGAGCGATTATTGCCAGAGGTTGCCTGAGACCTGAAAGTTATTTCAAGGATTCAAGATTGAGAAAGGCTGTTCTAAATTGTTATGATGAATTGCTCCCTGATCCCCTCAATGGTCCCCCCTAGGATTTGTGTATCACTGGCTGAGAGCTAATAAACTAGACATGGAATCTTTATTGAAATCAATTTGGATAGTAATAACCAGGCTGTTTTCCTTGCCTCTCTGCAGACTTATTGCTGGACTATCAACTCACTATTCTTCATTGTTGGTCACAAAAATGTGGCAGCTTAATCTGTCTAACTTATTTTGTTCTATTGCAAATCTGCCAACACACAGAGTGACATGCTTCGTCAAGGTGCTGGCCTGAGAGAATGTTAGTACATAGCTGGTTTGGCTGAATGTAATTTTTAAAGCTGCACTCCGGAAAACTAAAAAGTCCTCTCTTGTAGTGAAGCTGTGCCTGCATTGCAGGGGTTAACTGCTCAGTTAGTCTAGGGAACATGAAAAGCACTTTTACTCACCCGATCCTCCACTCCTTCAGCAAACAGCGCTGCAGTAATGAACTGACTTTCCACATCCTCACTTCCAGTGCAGGGCTATGGGCTCTGCATTGGTCTTGATGACATCAAATAACTTTAGACTGCCAAAGCTCAGGGGAGTAGAGGCTGCAGGGGCTGATCTAGCAGCATGAAGAAGCCTGGGAGAGTAGAGGATCAGACAAGTAAACACTGGTTTTCTAAGCCCCTCTAGACATGAGCTGTACCCATACTGCACGGGAGGAGAACCTGTCATTTTTAAATATTAGACACTTATTTACACTTCTGTAAATTGGTTTATTTTGTCATTCCTTTGAATTACAATGTCATGTCTTTGCATTTAGGAGAGAAACCTTTTGAATGTAGCGTTTGTGGCAAACACTTCTCACAGGTGAGATACTTTTCCTAATTCTATTGAAGTGCAGCTCAAGCCAAATATGATAAAAACACCCCTTTAGTCTAACTATGTACCTCATTTAAAAACACTCAGTGTATTGTTCACAATTGTTAGTGTTTAGGGGGCTTCCCGGTGTGGTGATGCTCAGTTATATATCAGTGAGGAGGCAGGAGGAAGACTAAGGGACTTCACTGCACTGCAGGTTCTGTGTAGTGTCACCTTCTGGCTATACAGTGAGACAGAAGATCTTAGCTGAACATACAGCAGAGAAAATATTTATTTGATCCCCTGTGGATTTTATAAGTTTGCAGGGTCTATTATTTTTATCATAGGTGTGTTTTAAACGATAGAGACAGAATAACAACAAAACTCCAGAAAAAAACACATGATACAAATGTTATAAATTGAGTTGCAGTTCAGTGAGTAAAATATGTATTTGATCCCCAAGTAAAACATGACTTAGTACTTGGAGAAACCCTTGTTGGGAAGCACAGAGGTAAGACGTTTCTTGTAGTTGATTACCAGGGTTACACATAGTTAAGGAGGGATTTTGGTTACCAGGTTTGCACACAAATCAGGAGGGATTTTAGTTACCAGGTTTGCACACATCTCAGGAGGGATTTTGGTTACCAGGTTTGCACACATCTCAGGAGGGATTTTGGTTACCAGGTTTGCACACATCTCAGGAGGGATTTTGGTTACCAGCTTTGCACACATCTCAGGAGGGGGGATTTTGGTTACCAGCTTTGCACACATCTCAGGAGGGATTTTGGTTACTAGGTTTGCACACAACTCAGGAGGGATTTTAGTTACCAGGTTTGCACACATCTCAGGAGGGATTTTGGTGGTTACCAGGTTTGCACACATCTCAGGAGGGATTTTAGTTACCAGGTTTGCACACCAGATTTTTACCAGGTTTGCACACCACAACATGTTTTGAGACATTGTCATGCTGGAAGACCCATCCATGACTCATCTTCAGTGTTTTGGCTGAGGGATGAAGGTTCTCATACAAGATCTTGCAATATATGGCCCCGTCGGCCTGTACCTTTTAGCAGAGAAACAGCCCCAAAGTATAATGTTTCCACCTCCATGTTTGACTGTAGGGATGGTGTTCTTAGGGTCATAGTCAGCATTTTTATTCCTCCAGGTGTCTTTTATACACGTAAGTTGTTGTTAGGAGCACCTTCTTAAATTGACAGGACTAATCTGTGTACCACATGAGCACATAGCCAGTCTGTGGCAGCCATAATTATTGTTGGTTGCTTGCGAATCAATTACTTATTTTACTCACTGAACTGCAACTCAATTTATAACATTTGTATTATGTGTTTTTTCTGGATTTTTTTTTGTTGATATTCTGTCTCTATCATTTAAAATACACCTATGATAAAAAAATTATAGACCCTTCATTTTTTTGTATGTGGGCAAACTTACCAAATCTGCAGGGTAGGTAAACAGATCACAAATGCTGTATGTATTTTGGCTGAGCGTCTGACTGGATTTGTGCTTTACACGAGAAGATTTCTGCTCTTCACATTTTTAGTTTGCTGAATTTAACAGCAATGAGCAGTTATTATTGAGAGCTCTGTATATTAACCTATTACTTTAAAGTAGCATCGGAATGTTTAAGTTTGTTGGTATCAGTATACGTGAAAAGCTGCAGGATGTAGGCTGTTATCAGATTAGTAATGCAAAGCTGGCCTTTATACATAAGAAACGTAACAGAGGTAATGTTGTATAACACTTTCATGACCATGGGGTAGGTCATTGATGCCTAAATCCCCAGGCATAGCATATGTTGGTTAAAACAGCTGCAAACCCAGTCACTGGCAATACATTATCTCCTTTGAGAGGCTCTCCTTAAAATGGAACTTTACTCTCCCAGTCAACATTGACTATTTTTAATATCATGCTGCTAGCATTATTAGATAGATGGGAAAGTATATTATAGTTACTTTATTTAAACTTTTTTTTTTTTTACATTTCTTCAGTTCCTGGTTTCCAGGCCTAGGGAAATTACATCATACATCGCAGGAGTCTTCAGGAGGGGAGGAGGGGCTTTCTCAGTTAAGCACACCCTCCTGCTCGCATGCCTGAGCTAAGGGCAGATGGATTCCAGGAAGTAAATGCTACATGAACCATCTGCCCTTATCTAAAGAGGAACTTCATTTAAACTTGAAAAATATCTGAAAAAATATAAGCAACATAAAAATGTCGAGTATGTGATTTATCTGCTACATTTACCAAAATGTGTCTTTTTCCAAAGAAAAATGTGGGCTGGAGCTGCACTTACCCTGTAATGTCACAGCGGACATTTTGACTGGGGGCACCCTGTATAGGTTGCATGCCAATGATTCCCGCAGGATGGTTCGGATCTGCGGATTGAGCATAATGGATCGAAGTCTGATCCATTATACTCCCCAATCCGCAGATCCGATCCATCCTGTGGGGATCGTTGCCATGCAATCTATACGGGGTGACACCGGACCCACTCCATGAAAAGGTAAGTTGTAAAGAAAGCCGACGATCCCCACAGGATGGATCGGATCCATCCTACGGGAATCGACGGCTTGCTTTACAACTTACCTTTTCATGGAGCGGGTCCGGTGTGTCACCCCGTGCAGTAGGTGTCACCCTGTGCAGCGCACACCCCCTGCACTTGCCTCGGGACACCACTGCCCATGAGACATTGCTCCTCACACATTCACAAATTCTCAGGCACTTCCTGACATGTATGAAAGGTGGATTGAGCTGTATGTGTGCTGCACTGTGTATACTGATATGTAAACAAATAATGCATTCTGTATGCAGGCCAACTAATCGATAATGAAAATAACTGACAACTATTTTAATAATTGATTAATATCGATTATCTTGATTAGTTGTTTCAACTCTAAAGAATTGGCATGTAAGGCAACCTTTACAAGATGATGTATTTATCTACCAGAGGATATGTTTGGGATCAGTTTTAAGGCTTACATACACTTTAACTTGACAATAAAATGGTAGCTAATTTATTTTTTATTTTGTACAGTGTTTTAATACTATTCTGTATTTATTGTAGGCTGACAAATATGCACAAATGTAAAAAAAGTAACATTTTTTACATGTATTTTTTAAATAATGCAACAGTATCTTCCACTATTAAATAGATAGCTTTGTAAATGAATACTGCAACCTCAAGTGACAGCTGGGAATGAGAGCCAGCAGCAACATGAAGTGTCGGCTGCTGGCCCTCAAAGGGGGAGGACATTCGTTAATGTCCATTAACATTAAAGTGGCTGTAAACCCTAACATGTACCCAGCGAAGTGACTAGCATCAGGTGACTACATAAGCTGTACCTGCTTATCTGCAGCCCTCTTTCCTCTACAGCCGTCGAAAATACAGAATTTACCCAGCCTTTCTGCTTATCTGAATCCAGAGGGCGGGGATCTGACGTCACACACTGAACTACACATAGTGGACAGCTGAGCGTAATCTGAGACCTGAGTGGAGGGACCAGACACCCCCCACACACAAACACACAGTGTCATAGGGAAACATACACAACAGAGGCTGTCAATCACAGGCTTTGTGCTGGAGCTTTCTTCCCTCCCCATCCCTCTGGATCGCTTGGAGTCAGCATAACCTGTCAGAAGTAACTCATGCAGATAGCAGAGAAAGGAAACCGCTAAGCTAAGTGCTTTGTATTGAGACAAATACACACTATAGAAGGATGAGCTGTGTTCATTTTCGTTTCAGAGGTTTATAACTACTTTAATAAACAGAATGCAGGCGGAATGGAGTTCATTGACAGATCTGGGTTTGCAAAACATTTTACATGCTGGATTGTTATCTGTTTTTATGTAAGCACTGCTTTACAGCTACAAGCTCCTATGTATACATTGCAAGAAACAGTTACATAATATTTAATACTGGTGGAATTCCCTTCCATGTGGAACCAACATAGAGGTCACATCCTCAGACGCAGACAGTAATCTGGTGACTGCTTGTTCTGTCCTCATTTGTTCAGTCTGAAATGCAGACCCAACTGAAATGGATGGTTATATTTTTTATACACAGAAACAGTAGTGGAGTGATATTTATGTTATGTTTATACATAGAGATTTTCCTGCCAATGAGTGATGATCTCTGTTCAGTACCCATGCATGCTTTTACTTTGGGGTGGGAGTGAGCTTTTAATTATCCTAATGTGTTTGCCTGCGGCTGTGGGTCTTGTTTTTATATCTGTGCGATATTATTATTGATCATATCGGCACATTGCGGATTAAAGCATGCATTTCTGGTGTAAAATCTCTCAGAATGGTTGCTCATTGATCTGTTTTTTTTGCCATTTTCCCCAGTTTCTCTGCTTTACTAAAATCCCAAAGTCATAGCAAGTCATTTCCAGCAGAGGGAGCACTTTGCTTGCTAATTATTTTCCATTTTCTTTTTTTTTATGTCTGTACAGTATAAGACCTTTTTTTGCCCATATTTCTGCCACAGATGTTTCCTAATTTTGCTGAATTTTATTTAAACACATTTAAAAAAAAAAAAGATTGACATGGAAAGCTGTGATGTCAAAAAGCTCAGGGCATAAAAAGAGGTGAAATGAGTACAATATGTTTCTGCCTTTTTAAAGTGACACTAAATTCCATTTTTAAAAAATCCATTCAAGTATGTATTCTTAATTCAGAAGTCCCTCTTATTGCTTTCGGCTTCTTTAAATGTTTTATTTTTTTTTTTTTTGCTGCTGTGATTACATTTTCTTGTTAGAGGGTGTTCTCCGTAGTCTCAGTGTATGTAAGATCATAGCCACCCTCTCTTGCTTACTCCTGGGTCGGACTAGGGAATGTATAGGAACTGTAATGTGCATAGAGCAGTGCACATGACCACAGCTGATGTGCACTGGTAATTTCAAACAAACAGAAGTGAGAGGGAAAAGGAAAGAGGAGAGGTTCAGGAGCTCACAGAGGAAATTATAAGGAAGCAGAAAAGTGTTGTAAGAAACAGTTTCATGAAATATAAATTATAGGGCTGTTATTTAGTGGATGTGCATGATTATTTTTGGAGAATAAAGATATCAATTAATGTCACTTTACGTTTCTCGCCACTACAAAAACAACAAATCATGTTAGGTTTAGGCCAGTGTAAATTCTAAGTTCAAAATGGACACAATTGGGGGATTTACTAAAATTGGGGAGTGCAAAATCTGGTGCTGCTCTGCATAGGAACCAATCAGCTTCCAGGTTTTATTGCCAAAGCCTAATTGAACAAGCTGATGTTAGAAGCTGTTTGGCTACCATGCACAGCTGCAGCAGAGTGCTACAGTTTTTGTAAATCTCCCCCCAATGTTTTCATTTCTGGCTTACTTTCATTATGGTTGAACTATGATGAAAATGAACAAAGAATTTGCCCTAAACAAACATATACAGTATAGTCAGACAAAATATTTAAAATGTTGTTTCTTAGTAAAAGGAAGAGAAATGTAATTTTCAGATTTTTATAAATACAGCTCTAAGTTCATGACGCAAATGTCTTTTTTGCAGGCTGGAAATCTTCAGACTCATTTACGAAGGCACTCTGGTGAAAAAACCATACATATGCGAAATTTGTGGTAAAAGGTATCAACGGGTTATTTGCATATGTATGAATAGTTTTCTTACTCCCTTGCTTGCGCTAATCAGCAAGTCTTAGGGCTCATTCACACCAGCCCTGTCCACTGAGGAAAGTTAGACATGTGAGCGTTGTGTGGCACATTAACTGTTGCGCGCTAGAGCAGCTCATTGCACCAAGACATGCCAGCGGGTGTGCATGCAGCATTTTTGGCATTGCAGCACACCACATATTTTGCGTTGAAATAACTTTGCTTTAGGAAACTGCATTGGGGTGCCATTCAGAATGAATTGCACCGCATCACACCAATGTACTTAGCATGTGTTACAGTGTGTTACAGTAACACACGTGATGGCGCACTGCAATGGTGTGAACGGGCCCTAGTTTTTTCCAGGTTAAGTTAAATCTAGTTGTAGTTAGTCACATTGTTAGAGACATTTTGTAGCTCACCAAGCCACTTCTTCAATTCCTAGAGTATCTGGAACATACCTTCCTGACCTTTTTGGAAACTGAAAAAGTGGCTTGGTAAGCTACGAAACGTATTCAACATTACAGAACAAGTCCAGTTGAATGTGAATAACTTCCACTAGATATACCATGATCTTCTACTAAGGTTTTGTTACTGTTATACAGGGGTTAGACAAAAATATGAAAACACTACATGATTTGCAAGTGTGAGAGTGACGACATGTTTTGTGTTGAAAGCGGAAGTGATGTAATATTCTTTTGCTTCCACTGTGTGATGAGACACCTAGATAACAGGTGGGAAGCCTCACTTTCATCATTCACTGTGTGCACTGCTAGTAATACAGAGTCATGTCAGTGCTTACTGAGCTTCAAAGAAGCCAGACTGTTGGTGCCCGCTTAGCTGGTGCCTCTGTGACTGAGGTTGCCAATTTATTTGCAGTATCGCAAGGTACAGTATCAAAGGTTATGACGGCATATACAGTTTCCAGGAAAACGTCATCTAAAAAGCATAAGATCGGGCGACATGGTCAACTGAGTGAAAGAGACAAAAGGACATTGTGCAGGATTGTGACCTGGAATAAGAAAACACCTACTGCAAAAGTGACTGCACAGCTCAATCCCAGTCTTCACAGGAATGAGATAAGCTCTACAGTTATTGCAGTTACCTGCGATTTATCATATGGAAAAATGCAGGTAACTGTACATAGTGTGATTGGGCCCTTACTGTACTCCAAGGAATGAGTTTTACAGTCTCTCATACTCAAGCCCTGCTATACAGGGATTGCAAGAGGCTGATACCAGGTCAGATCCAGGCATTTACACTGCTTGCATTTAAAAAAATGCATTTAATGTATTTATAATATGTATTTTTTTTTTATTTGCCTAGAGTTTAAATTGGCTCTAAGGGCTGAAGGTTTTTAACCTTCATGCACTCTATGCAGCTCCCCTCAATACTTACCCATGCTGAATCCTAATCCAGCACTATACAGGAGAGCCTCTGCTCTCCCAGGTCTCTCCCTCTTCATTGGCTCCCGCTGCTGTCAATCACAGCCAGTGAGGAGAGAGCAGGGGGCGAGGCTGAGCTATGGTCTGTGTGTCCTATAAACACACAGAGGCAGCTCGGGAGTGAGTGTGCAGGAGTGCCCTGAGAGCAAGCAGCTTGCTCTGGGGGCACTTGGCAAGAGGGAGGGGATAGAAGTGCTGGCAGGGGACCTGAGAAAGGTGGACCGGGGCTGCTGTGTGCAAAACCATTACATAGAGCAGGGAAGTATGACATGTCTATTATTTTACATTTTAAAAAAAGCAAGCCTTTAATATCACTTTAGGCTCTGTAAAATACACCTTCTTTCAGCAGAGCAGCTAAGCATGGATCCTTAAAGATGTGAAGGGTGCCCAGACCTGTTAGCTACAAATCAAAATACAAAGTATGCAATATTTCATGTTAACCTGACAAAAAAAATATTTTTGAAATGTTTGTTTAAATGTATTTTTATTGATAATTATAATACAAAAAGATAATTTATACAAAACTTCTATACAATCCTTTTTAGTGCTTTTGGTACTTTTAAGTTTTAGAAAAAGGATGTTTTTTATGAGTAAATAGTAGAAAAAGGTGAGCGCTAGGCAATAATAGGAAGCAAGAAGATAGGTAACAATCCCCAAAAATGAATATGCAGTGCTAAAAGTACTAGTACTAAAATAAAACAATAAAGTGCATCACATGTTTGTTATGGTTGAACTGGATGGACTTTTGTCTTTTTCCAGCCAGAATAACTATGTAATTATGTATTCTCATTATAGTGACAGAATACTTACATGACGGTTCTGTCTATATAGGTTTGCAGTCTCTGGAGATGTGCAGCGCCACATTGTCATTCACACAGGAGAAAAACCACACTTGTGTGATATCTGCGGGAGAGGTAATGTTACTGATTACACATGATTGCTGGTGGACTTTTTTTCTGTTCTCAGTAAAGAAGGGTCACCTTCTTTCCTCATCACTTTGCTAGGTTTCAGTAATATCAGCAACTTGAAGGAACATGAGAAGACTCACGCCACAGACAAACTGTACACCTGTGATGACTGTGGTAAATCCTTCAACATGTACCGCAAGCTCATAAAGCACAGAATCCGCCACACAGGAGAGCGACCGTACAGCTGTATGACATGTGGTGAGTGCTGGTTCATGTCCTCCAATATAGACCTTCTGGAAAATTCAAAGCTTCATTTATCATACTGCTTGAGAGAAGGACTAATCTCATGTATATAGCAGAGCACATCGTAAGATCCAAAAGCCAGGGACCATTTATTTTGTGTTTTTACAAGTAGTGCTGTACTTAGCGGCTTAAAGCGGAGTTCCAGCCTTTTTTTTTTTTACTCCCTTGAAAGACAATGGTCTCCCTCTTCACAGTCCATTTTGGCAATATATATGTAGATTTTTATTTGCTAAATACCTTTTATTGGTAATTACTTTCTCCACTTCCGGTCCCAGCTGCCTAGGCAATTACATCATCAGGCATTCCCTAGGGCTTCTGGGATATCGGTGTCATCTATCCCAGCAGTCCTAGGGAATGCTCCATACCAAAATCTCACGTTATTATGAGATCGGAAGTGACGCGATCACGGGGATTTCTTCACACTGCGCAGGTGCGAGATCGCTCCTTCTTCACACTGCGCAGGTGCGTGATCGCTCCTTCTTCACACTGCGCAGGTGCGAGATCGCTCCTTCTTCACACTGCGCAGGTGCGTGATCGCTCCTTCTTCACACTGCGCAGGTGCGAGATCGCTCCTTCTTCACACTGCGCAGGTGCGTGATCGCTCCTTCTTCACACTGCGCAGGTGCGAGATCGCTCCTTCTTCACACTGCGCAGGTGCGAGATCGCTCCTTCTTCACACTGCGCAGGTGCGAGATCGCTCCTTCTTCACACTGCGCAGGTGCGAGATCGCTCCTTCTTCACACTGCGCAGGTGCGAGATCGCTCCTTCTTCACACTGCGCAGGTGCGAGATCGCTCCTTCTTCACACTGCGCAGGTGCGAGATCGCTCCTTCTTCACACTGCGCAGGTGCGAGATCGCTCCTTCTTCACACTGCGCAGGTGCGAGATCGCTCCTTCTTCACACTGCGCAGGTGCGAGATTGCTCCTTCTTTACACTGCGCAGGTGCAAGATCGCTCCTTCACAATGGGCAGGAGCGAAAACGGGAAGTGTATGCTGGGTAGCCAGCTGTACAATTTCCCGGAAGAATGTCTGAGCGGGCTTCTTGTGCCCACACTTAAGATGACAGTATTCACAATATGAGGGTGCAGTACATGAATTTATTATACAGAAAGCAAAGGATTACAAGTACAGGTAATTTCAACTTGCATTGCCTAAGCTGCCACTCTCACGTGGGTGCCTTTAGAAAAAATATTATTAAATGGCTGGAACTCCTCTTTAAATAGAACTGTTCACACAATTGCCTGCTAACAAAGCAACATACAGTGTAATGACCTTATTACAATCACACACACTAGGGTCAGTTGGATGGGAGCCATATAACCTGTCAGTATCTTATTAGATTGTTGGAGGAACCAAAACAGCTGGAGGAGGCCCTCCAAAACACACAACTTTAACAAAGCAAATTCTTCAGTCATTTAAAGGGATGTGCCAATTTTTTATTTTCATATGCAAACATAACATGATTATATAGGGAGGACACTGGTGTTGTGGAGATGCATACAGGATTTGACTCAATACAGCAATGAATTTGCATTTTAATAAACTTAGAATTGGACCTCTGTTTCAATGTTTTACAGACAGAGCACAGCAAAAGCTATTTGCCTTTCTGTCACTGAGGACCAGTTCACACACAATATACAGCTGCCAGAGAGGTAAACCGCTGCAGTTTCCTTTCCAGCAGCTGTCTGTTGTGACTGCAGTAAGGGGTGGCGTTAAGTACAATTCAGTGCACACTCGTCTCTCTTTTTTCCCCCCTCACTTTACTTAATTTTAAATGTACAGTGACATGCCATCGCCAGTCACCACACTGTGTGTGAATACAGCCTAATTGAAATTTTGGACTTCGCACCCTGGATACTTTGGGGCGGGTTTCATCAAAGGATAGCTTGGACAGAATTTGGAAAGGATCCATTAACTTTACCTGCTGGCTAGAAATAAATATACATAATATTTATATGCAATATTTTATATTTATCTAAAACAAATTCTTAAAATGCTATTTTTAGTGTTGACTGTAATAAAACAAAGCATATACCAGTATACAATTGTGCTCAAAAGTTTGCATACCTTAGTAGAAATCGTGACATTTTGGCATTGATATTGAAATATGACTGATCATGCTAAAAAAACTGTCTTTTATTTAAGGATGGTGATCATATGAAGTCATTTATTTTCACATAGTTGTTTGGATTCTCTTAAAATCAAAATTTTAACAGAAATCATCCAAATGGCCATGATCAAAAGTTTCCATACCCTGGAATGTTTGGCCTTGATACAGAAGGCGACACACACAGGTCAAAATGGCAGTTAAAGGTTAATTTCCCACGTTTGGCTTTTTTAATTGCAATTAATGTCTGTGCATAAATAGTTAATGAGTTTTTTAGCCGAAAGGCCTGACTAACAAGGTAATGGAACTTTATAAAGATGGAAAAGCATATAAAAAGATATCCAAAGTTTTTAATATGATATGTCAGTCAGTACTGTTCAATTACTTATTTGGAAGTGGAAAAGTTTGGGGATCTTTTGATACCAAGCCAAGGTCAGATAGACCAAGAAAGACTGTAGCCACAACTGCCAGAAGAATTGATTAGGATATAAAGAAAAATCCACAGGAATCCTCAGGAGAATTAGAGGCTGCTCTGGAAAAAGATAATGTGGTTTTTTCATGGAGCACAATACGTGGATACTTGATAAAAAATTAGCTGCATGGTCGAGTTGCCAGAAAGAAGCCTTTACTGCACCAATGCCATGAAAAACGTCTGGTTACAATATGCCTGACAACACCGTGACATGCCTCAGCTTCTGGCACACTGTAATCTGAAGAGACAAGTCCAAAATAGAGCTTTATAGTCACAACCATAAGCACTATGTTTGGAGTGGGGTCAATAAGGTCTATGGCGACAAGAATACCATCCCCACTGTGAAGCATGGTGGTGGCTCACTAATGTTTTGGGTTGTGTGAGCTCTAAAGGCATGGGGAATTTTTTTGAAAATTAATGGCAAGATGAATGTAGCATGTTATCAGAAAATGCTGGCAGATAGTTTGCATTCTTCTGCATGAAAGCTGCTCATGGGATGCTGTTGAACTTTCCAGCATGACAATGAATCTAACTACAAGGCCAAGGTGATCCTCTAGTGGTTACACCAGAAAAAGGTGCAGGTTCTGGATTGGCCATCACAGTCTCCTGACCTTAATATCATCGAGCCACTCTAGGGAGGTTTCAAACGTGTGGTTCATGCAGGACAACCAAAGACTTTGCATGACCTGGAGGCATTTTACCAAGAGAAATGGGCAGCTATACCATCTACAAGAATTCAGGCCCTCATAGAAAACTATTACAAAAGACTGCACAGTCATTGATGCTAAAGGAGGCAATACACAGTATTAAGAACTAAGGGTATGCAGACTTTTGTTTCATTTGTTTACTGGTTACCATGTTTTGTCTATTTTTTATGATTGTGCCGTTCGGATATTACCTACAGTTGAATATGAATCCCATAAGAAATAAAAGAAATGTGCTTTGCCTGCTCACTCATGTTTTCTTTAAAAAAGGTACATACTGTATATTACCAATTCTCCAAGGGTATGCAAACAACTGTACATTCTTTTTTTAAAGTTTAATTATAGAAAGGTATTACATTTAATCTAGCTATGTATTTTTTAAGAAAATACATTAAAATAGTATTTCAGTCTTTCTTCTTCTGGGCTCATGTAATCCCATGTAAATTAGTATCCAGACTCAGAGGGTAAGGGGTAGCACTTTAAGCCTACATAAGACTTTTGTTCCCTGCACAGTGCTGTGATCTAACAAATGGAGCACAGAGGCTTGACTAAGCTGTATTGTTGTGGCTGCTCTTTAAAAAAAAAATGATATGGTCAGGACCTGGATTAGAAAACTGGCTGATCTTAATTACTAATATATTTGGCAGGTAAGACTTTCCATGTATTTTTCAACTGTGTATTTAGCTGTTTGCCTATCTTTCATTTATATACTTAAGTATACAGGTGCAATGTGAGGTGGAATGTTTGAATATTAGGGGCCTTGGGGATGAGGGGGTGAATGAGTAGAGCAAAGAAACTGGCTCACTTTAATGGCGGCCTCACTAGCTGTTTATGCTTACCTTCCATTCACACCCTTCCCTCTATTTGGCAGCTCAAAGGAAAGACAATTACTTGGTACTTTCATTCTCCTTCTTCCTATGTGACAGTGCTGGGGCTAGCTTATTGGTCCAGCAATATTATGTGGCACAGTGAGAGTATCCTTAGCCCTGTGTACTCTCCAAGTCTCTACTTGGAGCTTACACAAGGCTTCCTTTCTTTGCTTCTGACAGCTGAACATAGTGGGTTTGGGGAAAAGGGAAATATAAGCAGCTGGTGAGGCCGCTTTTCACCACTTCGCCTTTCACACCTGTTCACCCCTATGGACCAAAGCAATTTTTACATTTCTGCCATGGGCCTGTTTTTTAAGTGATAACTTTGTCATTACTTAAGATAAAAATGTAATACATATATTGTTTTTTTTAAGGACAAACAAGACTTTTTTTCATGAATATTGTCAATCCTTAAGCAATTAAACGTAATAAAGCGCACTCTTTTTTTAAATTTTTTTAGCAGTGTTGGGGCTCGTTCACACTTGGCTGTTTTACCAACGCTTGCCAAAGGCCCCTATAGCGTTTGGCAAGCGTTGGTCCGGCGTTTGCGGAGCGTTTTTTAACGCTCGGCAAACGCTCCGCAAATGCCGCATGCGCAGCTTAGCGGCGGTTGCTAGGTGTTTGCCGAGCGTTAATAACGCCCCACAAACAACTATAATGCAGTTTGAGTGGTGTTACCGCTCCGCAAACGCCCCGCAAACGCGTTGCAACCGCACCGCAAACGCCGGCCGGGCATTTGCGGAGCGGCACCATAGACGAGAATAGGAGGCTTCAACGCCTCCTGACTCGACCAGAGGCGTCCGTTTTGCCGCGACGCAAACGCTCCAGTTAGAACAGCAGCACCATGTGCTGTAATGTGCAGAATTGGCAGAGGTGTTTGGATAGCGGTAAAAACGCTTCCCAAATGCCTCTCTGCCGCCTGCACACACAAAGCTAGTGTGAACGTAGCCTTAGTATAAAAATAAATAGTGTTACAGAATAAAATGAGCATGTTTTATGGGCAGTATTTGTCCTGTTGAAAATGGCACTAAAATTATGATTCTGGTACAAAGCATTGCAAAGTTATTTATAAATGAAGTAAAGTGGGTTTTTTTTTTTCTATTTTGCGCTTTTTTTAAATATGAAATTTGTAAATATATGTTATAAGGTATAAAAATATTAACAAACAAAAAAAGTTTAAATATTATTAGTTAATAAAACAGAAACAAAAAAAAATCATCAGGCAAATAATAATTGAATGAAGGAGAATAAGGAGTTATTTAGGGCTGATTAGAGTGCACTAAGGGTTAATAAGGGGTTAAACGGAGAAACATTTAAAATAAATAAATAAATTATTTATTTATTTATTTTTTTACTTGTCAGGTTGCCTAACTGACTTCATCTGCAGATAGTTCACCCCTTTGATCTGTAGCTGAATAAACAGAAAGATACAAAATGAAACATTGTTTCTTTGTATGTTTCTGTAGTCAAGGTTGAGCAATGTTGTTGATAAACATTGCCAGACTGCTTTTTTTTTTTATAGCTCCAGCTGTCAGAATGTTCTTTGTGTACTCCACAATGCCACTTTGATTAATCAGAGCTGAATTACCAAGTACTGGGACAGGGGAGGTCCTGGCAGGAGCGCAGAAGGACTGGATGTGTTACACGTGCCCTGTGTACAATGATGACATTTCTTACTCTCCCAGAGTCTGCAACTGATTAAAGTTTACCTGTTGTTTTGTCCTGAATGGGCAAACACTGGTAAACTTTAAGTCTTACGGCTAGATCTCTCAGGATAACACACCACACCCAGTATTTCTGTAGTACGTTATGGATTCATGATTGGTCTGTGTTTTTTTTTTTTATTTATGTTTCTCATTATTTTCCAGGTAAGAGGTTTGGTGGCTCTGGAGATCTGCGCAGGCATGTCAGATCTCATACAGGGGAGAAACCATATACATGCGATGTATGCAACAAAAGCTTCTCCCGCTCAGCTGTCCTCAGACGCCATAAGAAAATGCACTGTAAGTCTGGAGATGGAGATCAGGCTGCAGCAGATGAGTTGCACAATCCTGAAGGATCATCCGATTTGGATACAACTCAGACTTTAGATTCAGTTACACAGAACATTTCTGTAGCTTTTATACAAGAACAGGTGCATTCAGTGGAGAATACAAGGAGCGACTACGAGGGAAGTACCGCAAACGTCTTCTGCAAATTACAAAGCATGATTCAGCAAGATACTGGACAGGACAAGAATATCTCAGAGCGTACAAAAGCCACAAAGCCTCACTTGGCAGACACAGATGAGGCCTACACATTCACCGAGGTGGAGGTGTCAGAGGACAGTCTACCCTCTGACATATCTATGATACGTTCCTCATTAGTGACTATAGAGAATAACTGCCATGAGCCACTAAATAACCGAGCCTCATCCAATGGATACAGAAGCTCAGATGGCCCTTTCTTTTCTAGTATGTCTCTCTGGGGTCTTGCTATGAAGACACTTCAGAATGAAACTGACATGGAGCAGTAACTGTAGTGCAAGTCTTTAGAGTGGATTCAAAAACTTTTCAAATGAGAGTATTGTTTATCAGGGTACTAAATGCATTATTTTTCTAATTTAATAAATCTAAAATATCTATTTCTGGATTTTTTCTGATACAACAAGCATTATAATCTGTATATTTCCAACACATGTTTGTTTTCAAAGGGCTCCTTATTGGTCATGGTCAAATAAACAATAGGCTTAGGATATCAAGAAAGATGCAATTGCTGTGCAATTCAGTGCACAGTTGTGCGTGTAGGTACCCCTGCCCAGCTGATCTCTAGGTAATAATCATTTATCCAAAGAGTAAATTTCCAACCAGGGACAGAAGAAAAGAGACAGGAGGCGCCCGTCTGAGTGTCGTAATAACACTGTATTTAATAGCAAAGGATTAAAAACACTCAAAAAGGAAGTAATAAAACAAGCTCATCTGTGTATATGAGAGATGACCGGTCCTCAAAACGTCCTGCAGGCGCCACCGGTGGTTGCTGCAATAGCAGCTGGGCTGATGGAGATGGCAGGAGACACTGTAGTGGTCAATCCTGCAGAGTGGTGTTGTTGTAGAGCCGATCCAGCGGCATTTACGCAGGAAGGAGCCTAGTAACCAACCATGGAACACACCGGCAGGATGTGCCGTCAAAAGGAAGAGGTGGAGGGTCAGTGGGGAGGTCTGTGCTCTTCCTCCCACCTGTGGCGCCTGCAGGATGTTTTGAGGACCGGTCATCTCTCATATACACAGATGAGCTTGTTTTATTACTTCCTTTGTGAGTGTTTTTAATCCTTTGCTATTAAATACAGTGTTATTATGACACTCAGACAGGCGCCTCCTGTCTCTTTTCTTCTGTCCCTGCATACAAAGCTGGCTTGCTCCGAGGATGGCTGCCGTCTTTTTGTGCTAAAAAGATTCCAGGCAAATTGCCTGAGAGACTCATATTAGGACTTATTGTACACCAATGCATTCACATACCCTGTTTTAAGTACTTGTATGCCAATATTGCCATTATCTTTTACTTTATACATTTTATAATTTGTATCCTTTTCACCCTTACACTACTTTACTCCTGTGCGCCAGAGTTACTAGTTTTTTTACTATAAATTTCCAACCATTCGCTATTGTTCCTCAATGATAAGGCAAAGGGGCTGATTTATTCAGGGATTTGAGAAGTACAAACAATGAAATGTGTGAAGATTCCCTTCAGTTATTCAGTCATGTGAAAAGAAAATCCCTGTTTACTTATTTGATCTGCTTATGATTGTACAGTGAGGAACAGAAGTCTTTGAACACCCTGAGATTTTGCAAGTTCTCCCACTTAGAAATCATGGAGGGGTCTGAAATTCACATTGTAGGTGCATTCCCACTCAGAATTAAAAAAAAAAAATCAGGAAATCACACTGTATGATTTTTAAAGAATTTATTTGTCTTGCACTGCTGAACATAAGTATTTGAACACCTGAGAAAATCAGTGTTAATTTTTGGTACAGAAGCCTTTGTTTGCAATTACAGAGGTCAAACGTTTCCAGTAGTTCTTGACCAGGTTGGCCCACTCCTCCACACAGATCTCCTCTAGATCTGTCAGGTTTCGGGCTGTCTCTGAGCAACACAGAGTTTCAGCTCCCTCCAAAGATGTTTCTATTGGATTTAGGTCTGGAGACTGGCTAGGCCACTCCAGAACCTTGATATGCTTCTTAAGGAGCCACTCCTTGGTTATCCTGGCTGTGTGCTTTGGGTCGTTGTCATGTTGGAAGACCCAGCCGCGACCCATCTTCAATGCTCTGAGGGAAGGAGGTTGTTGCTCAAAATCTCACAATAAATGGCCCCATTCATCCTCTCCTTAATACAGTGCAGTCGTCATGTCCCCTTCGCAGAAAAGCACCCCCAAAGCATGATGTTACCACCCCCATGCTTCACAGTAGGGATGGTGTTCTTGAGATGCAACTCATCCTTCTTTTTCCTCCAAACACGACGAGTGAAGTTTAGACCAAAAAGTTCTACTTTGGTCTCATCTGACCACATGACTTTCTCCCATGCCTCCTCTGGATCATCCAGATGGTCATTGGCAAACTTCAGACGGGCCTGGACATGTGAAGACTTGAGCAGGGGAACCTTCCGTGCAATGCATGATTTGAAACCATGACGGCGTAGTGTTCTACCGACAGTGACCTTTGAAACTGTGGTCCCAGCTCTCTTCATGTCATTGACCAGCTCCTCCCTTGTAGTTCTGGACTGATTCCTCACCTTTCTTATCATCAGTGATACCCCACGAGGTGAGATCTTGCATGGAGCCCCAATCCGAGGGAGACTGACAGTCGTCTTTAGCCTCTTCCATTTTCTAACAATTACTCCAACAGTTGATCTATTTTCACCAAGCTGCTTGGCAATTGCCCCGTAGCACTTTTCAGCCTTGTGGAGGTCCACAATTTTGTCTGGTGTCTCTTGACAGCTCTTTGGTCTTGCCCATGGTAGTAGTGGGTGTCTGACTGACTGTGGGGTGGACACGTGTCTTTAAAGAGCTCAGACAGGTGCTACTAAGTTAGATTAATGAGTGGAGTAGAGGTGGACTTTTTAAAGGCACAGTAACAGGTCTTTGAGAGCCAGAATTCTTGCTGTTTCTTAGGTGTTCAAATACTTATGTTCAGCAGTGCAAGACAAATAAATTCTTTAAAAATCATACAATGTGATTTCCTGAATTTTTTTTTAAATTCTGTCTCTCAGAGTGGGAATGCACGTACGATGTGAATTTCAGACCCCTCCATGATTTCGAAGTGGGAGAACTTGCCAAATCGCAGGGTGTTCAAATACTTCTGTTCCTCACTGTATAATTGAAGTGAGCTTTCACATATAGTATATGCAATATATACTGGGTATAGAAAAGAATAACCATCCTAATAAAATAATCACATTTTGTTGCTTTGGATCCTGAAATGAAAACAGCCACAGTTTTTGTTTTATCCGGGCTATATTTACTCAGTGCAACGTATAACATCCAAGTGAAAGATACAGTGAGGAAAATAATTATTTGATCCCCTGCAGATTTTGTACATTTGCCCACTTACAAAGAAATGAAAGGACTATAATCATGTGTATTTTAAATAATAGAGACAGAATATCAACCAAAAATCCAGACAAAACAGCTTGGTATGTCAATCACTGGGTCCTGGCTGGCGATTCTCAGCCGACACTCAACGATCGTCGGGTAAAGCTGACAGAGGAGAGACCTGTCTGTAAACAACACAGGTCTCTCTTCTGTCAGCATGGACATGCTGTTTTGTATCTCTCTGCACAGCAGAGAGATACAAAACAGCATGTCTCCCTAGTAAAGCACAGCACACAGTTAACCCTTTGATCGCCCCAGATGCTAAACCTTTTCTGCCCAGTGTAATTAGTACAATGTCAGTGCTTTCTATTAGCACTGATCACTGTGTTAGTGTTACTGAGGATGTCAGTGGCAGTTAGTCAGTCCCCCCCCCCCCCCCCCCCCCCCCCCCCCCCCCCACCCCCCCACCCACCCCCCCCCCGAGTATCAGAATGCCCGCCACAGTCCTGCTATAAGTCGCTGATCGCCGACATTGCTAGTATTAAAAAAAATAATAATTCCAGTATATATTCCGCCATTTGTAGACGCTATAACTCATGTAAACTTATTACTTTACATGTATTGGGATTTTTTTTTCAGCAAAGACATGTAGCAGAATACATTTTGGCCTAAATTTATGAAGAAATTTGATTTTTTAAAAATTTTTTATTGGATATGTTTTATAAAAGTCAAAAATATTGGGTTTTTTTTTCAAGATTGTCAGTCTTTTTTGTTTATAGCACAAAAAATAAAAAACAGCATTGCATGACTGCACAAATTTCAGTTAAAACTGCAAAAAATGGCCTGGACAGGAAGGGAAGTAAATTCTTTGGAGGGCAAGTGGTTAAGGTCCTGGAGTGGCCTAGTCAGGCTCCAGACCTTAATCCTATAGAAAATGTATGGAGGGAGCTGAAATTTTGAGTTGCCAAGAAACCTTAACCATTTGGAGAAGATCTGTAAAGAAGAGTGGACCAAAATCCCTCCTGAGATGTGTGCAAACCTGGTAACCAACTGCAAGAAACGTCTTAGCTCTGTGCTTGCCAACAAGGGTTTCTCCACCAAGTACTGCATGTTTTGCTTGGGGATCAAATACTTATTTTACTCACTGAACTGCAGCTCAATTTATAACATTTGTATCATGTGTTTTTCTGGATTTTTGGTTGATATTCTGTCTATTTTTTAAAATACACCTATGAACAAAATTATAGACCCTTCATTTCTTTGTAAATGGACAAACTTACAAAATCTGCAGGGGATCAAATAATTATTTTCCCCACTGTATAAGACCAACATTTCAGAAAAAGTAAAAAAAAAAAAATCAAAAATAGTTGGAAAAAGGATCACCCCCTTGTCAGTATTTTGTTGAACCACCATTTGCTGTCATTACAACCTTTAGTCTGTGCACATCTAGGCTTTGCAATATTTTCCGACTCTTCTTTGCAGAACTGCTCAAGTTTAGTTACATTTAATGATGACCGTTTGTGGACTGCAGTCTTCAAGTCATTCCACAGATTTTCAATGGGGTTTAAGTCTGGGCTCTGGCTATGCCATACAAGGACATTCACCTTTTTCCACTTTAACCACTGTGTGGTAATTTTTGCAGTGTGCTTTGGGCCATTGTCATGTTGGAAGGTAAACCTCCTTTCTATTGACAACTTTCTGGCAGAGGGCAGCAGATTTTTCTCAAGAATTTGATGGTATTTGAGATCATCCATTTTTTCCTTCTATCCTGACAAGTGCTCCCAGTTCCTGCTGCCGAGAAACACCCCCATAACAGGATATTACCACCTCCATGCTTTACTGTAGGAATGGTTTTATTTGAATGGTGAGCTGTATTGGATTTCCACCAGACATATTGTATGTGTTGAGGCCAAATAATTCAATTTTCTCACCTGACCATAACACCTTTTTCAA